TTTAGAAATACTTCTCCTTTTAAAAGCAATAGAATTCTCTAATATAATTTAGTTAGTTATTTATTCGGATGGAAACACAATGCTGAGAGTGTTGTATAAACGCATAGGGGATGTAGGACAGTGTAAAATATCAATGAATTAATGGAAAATATTAATAATAATAGTCCTAGATGAGGTCATTTATGTACTTAGTGTTTCAAGTTTCAAGATGTATTTTGCCTCAGGACTTCAATAATCAGGTTTACTCTAGGAGTGTGAGGCGTATTCATCATCATCATTAACCTCTTGTTATTTGAAATACTTGTACTTTCACGAAGTGATTCCATTTGTTCGACTTTTAGTCTACTTAATGCTTACTTAGGAATTGTTTTAACCATCATATTATATTTATTCCCATTTATGAATTGGAATAAAGTAAGAACAATAGTCGTTTGTGCAGAATAACATGGTACCATCATTTATTTATTGATTTATTTTGGCTTCTCATCAACCCAGCCGCATACAGCCTAAAGAAATTCGATTAAGTTTATGAGCTGAACAATTTTTAACACACTTGCAAATGTTATATAATGTCAATTATTGACAGAAGACTCTAAACTTAATAAACAGTGCCCAGAAAATTACATTTATATCGTTTTTATCCAGAGAGTTCAAATTTAAACAGAAATAAATATCTGCATACAATAGTAAATGTAAAGGTGTTACGTAATAAAGATAAGAGATACTGTATAAGGTGAGTAATAGTATAGTGAGTTCAACTCAAATCATAAAAACAAGAGAGTCAAAAGTTACACTAAACAGAAAGCAGGGGTTGGGGGTGGTTTAAACTAAAGATTACATAATCAAATGAAAAGGAGGGTAAAGATATCCAGTTACCAGGGCAAGGATAGGCTGATGACTGGTTCATTTCTGAATACATACATAAATCAAATTCCAGGCGTTTGGTGTCAATTGCTTTGGCGAAATTGAAAAATTACTCTATTTACTGATAATTTTAAAGGATTTCGTGATGTCTATCTTATTCTGGAGAAACTGTTGTTCTTGTTTTAACCATGTTTTATGTGAATTATTACACTAGTGTGGAGAAATCCAGGCAAAGAAAGAGGGGGATTAATTTTATAGGTGAAGTAAACTATAAACACAATTTAAGAGACTCTTATAATTTGCATTTTACAAGACGCTAGATTTCTCCTTCAATTTAGATTAAACTGGTGTGTACAATTGATTATTGAGATCTCTAATATATCAACAGGATGCTGTTTGAAATTTATTCAACACCGTGTAATAGTAATTATGAAACACTACACAAATTATATCACAGTTTTAAAACAAGATTGCAGATGCCTTCCCGCCACACTTTGTCTGTATGTGTGTTTGTCATTGTTATAACTGTAGTGAATTGAATGAAGTCGTTTTCACCTTATTCTGTCTGCGCCTGAACTAATCTGTCTATCTGCTCGTCGTACCTTCCGACTTGGTAAAGCACGCAAATATCAAAAGACAAAGGCTGGACTGTGACTGTGTATTGAAGTGCAACAACGATAAAGAAAGCCATGGTATTTATACATTTTACAACAATATGGACAGCTAACAGCATTTGAAATAATTGACCTTAATAGCCAATAACAAAGTGTGTGAGAAATGATAATATGCCATATGTGCGACATTGACAGTCAGTAACAAAATGTGTGGGAATGATATATACCATATATACAAAATTAGCAGTCACTACCAAAATGCGTGAGAATGATAATATACAAAATTAGCAGTCACTACCAAAATGTGTGAGAATGATAACATACCATATATGCAAGTTTAAACAGTCAATACCAAAATATGTGGGATCCTATCACCTCCCCCCGTAAAGAGTGTAGGACTTGCTTTTTGGATCTATTTGAAAAGGTTTCGGAGCTCTTCTTTGTCGAGTTGACCTTTGCGTGGTACTGGATAGAGCGTGATCTGTGTGTCTGCCACATAACTGTCCTTTTTCATTCGTACGATAATGCAGCAAGAATTTATCCAAAATTTTTTCTGTTGTTCCCTCCCCCTTCGCTTTTGCATAAGCACGCTTAAAGGTGTCGACGAAACGTTCAGTAATAGTTGACGTAGGAGGGACACTGTTGCAATTGATGTGGCAGAATGCATAGGAAATATCTCTGGCCATTTGGAAAACGCGTCGACACATATTAAGAAATGCATACTATTGAACGGTCCAGCGAAGTCAACATGAACACGGGACCATGGTTTGTCCGGTCGTGGCCAGGAACATAGTTCTGTCTTGCGTGGACACTTTGATGCTTGAGCACATTTACTACACTTGCGAACGAGGTCTTCGATATGGTCATCGATGTTGGGCCAGTAAACATAACTGCGAGCGATCGCCTTCATTCTCCCAACACCAGGATGTGATATATGAAGCTGCCGAAGCACATGGTCACGAAGATTAGCTGGAACGACAACACGATCAGCAAACATTATGCATCCATTAACGATGGATAGGGATTTGCGTCGCTGGTAAAACTGTTTTAAAACATTTGAATGAACATGTGGAGGCCAGCCAAATCGGATGAACTTTGATACTTGCTGTAAAACTGGATCACGCAGTGTGTGTCTGGCAACCTCAACTGCAGTCACCGGAAGATCGTCCAGAGAGATAGACATTATAATTGGGTTGTAATTAACACAGTCAAAAATGTTATATAGTTGCGCTGAACAGAATAAAAACTGTCGTCGTTGCGTGCTATAACTGCGATGAATTAAAGTAAATCCCCGTCGCCAATTGTTATATCTTGCTCTGTCTGCGCCTGAACTTATATGTTATATAGTTGCGCTGAACAGAATAAAAACTGTCGTCGTTTGCTTGTTATAACTGCGATGAATTAAAGTAAACCCCGTCGCCAATTGTTATAACTGCACTGAATTAAGGTAAAACCCCGTCGCCAATTTGTTATAACTGTAGGGGATTGAATGAAGACGTTTTCACCTTATTCTGTCTGCGCCTGAACTAATCTGTCTATCTGCTCGTCGTACCTTCCGACTTGGTAAAGCACGCAAATATCAAAAGACAAAGGCTGGACTGTGACTGTGTATTGAAGTGCAACAACGATAAAGAAAGCCATGGTATTTATACATTTTACAACAATATGGACAGCTAACAGCATTTGAAATAATTGACCTTAATAGCCAATAACAAAGTGTGTGAGAAATGATAATATGCCATATGTGCGACATTGACAGTCAGTAACAAAATGTGTGGGAATGATAATATACCATATATACAAAATTAGCAGTCACTACCAAAATGCGTGAGAATGATAATATACAAAATTAGCAGTCACTACCAAAATGTGTGGGAATGATAACATACCATATATGCAAGTTTAAACAGTCAATACCAAAATATGTGGGATCCTATCAGTCATTCAACGTAATAATTCCAACAGACATTATGTCTCAAGTATTGGTTTTGTAGGGATTTTGTTTGATTAGTTTGGGGATTTCATCATGAGCTGACATCAGTTAGAGAACCATTGGAAAACCTGCCAGGGTGTACTGGACAGCTGTTTCGTCAGTCCAGTTTGGGACTTTTCATCAGTACGCACCTATCGTGGTTCGAACCAGCTGTCCAGTACTACTGGCAGATTTCCTGATGATCCTCTAACTAATGTCAGTTCATGATGAAATCCTCCAACCAATCAGACATTGTTTCTCCCGCTCTTCATTTCCTTGTACACATTGTAAACGCTGGAAGTGTAGGACTTGGGCAATGTAGTAGAATGCAATTCCATATTTGATCAATTTATTTAAAATAATTCACAATGATGCAGTATTAATAGGTTATAAGTTATTTATCCACTTATATGCATTATTATTAGCAATTAGCTAGAACACCTTATCCTACTAAAATCTGTTCGGGATATTGTGCAATTTATATCACAAAAAATAACTAATGTAATGTAACAGAACTTTGAGAGAGAGAGAGAGAGAGAGTTTGACTAGAAAACGAAAGTAATTAGTAAGTGGAATTTCTGCATAGCCAGTTCATAAACTCTACTCGAACCAATAAAGAAGCCAATATATTCTGTACTGATAGGTGAATAGTTAACAGCCTTGTCTAGTAACTTGAAGGTCGTAGTTTCAGTTTTCGATGAAGTCAAGCATACGTACTGCTTAAGAATTCCAAGCTAGAACAAAACAACTGTCCAGTACTACCTGGTTTCTAGACAGCCGTCTAAATGATGTAATTGCATGATCTAACTTGAAACGAAAGGAGTCAGATTTGATATGATTGTGAACACTAGACTGTGTTTGAAAAGTCATCCAGTAAGTAATATCTTTTAACTATGTGACCTAATGAATCGAATGCTATATTGAATATGACGAAAATAGCTTATTGGAAACGGATTAATATACAAGGTAAATTCATGACGCTATATATTACTGATCGACAAAGATGAGTAGTTGTATACCACTTACACCAAACAGTATTGCTTGCTAGTTAGATAGAACTGTTCTAAACACCGGAACGTCGAACCAATCATAGATGTACCAGATTAGTTCAAATCATTTGAATCCTGGCTAGCTACTCAGAAGAACTGGCAATACCTTAAATCATATTCTCAATTTGCAAAGTAATTTAGCAACAGAATTGGTAATATCGATTTAGTTTGATACATCTTCCATATGAGATATATATTCCCTTGGTATTCTGAAATTATTCATACGAATGAACTCTAACAGCATGGGAAACCAAGAATATTACTTCTCTGACACCAAGCTGAATACTCTTAAGTTGAAACGTGTTACTTTGGGTAAGTGATACATAGATTTATTAGTTTTTTTCCCACATCAGTTTGACTTGCAGACAATTGGGAAAACTGCTGAAAACGACAGACATTCAACGCGTGTTTCCTTTTTTTTCATAACTCTTCCAACATTTATTACAGTTTGATCCTTATAGATTATCGTTTGTCTTTTTTTTACCTTATAAATTATATCAGACTCACAACCATCTTCACCAGGCGAATCAGAGGCACTTTCTCCAATGGCAGCATCAGGTTGTTACAATCCCCGTTATCATCATCATCATCCTATGTTAGGATCAAATTTCCCCTATCATCCTGGATCAACAGATATGGTAATTTTGTTTTACTTTTACTTTCTTTCTCTTCCGGTTATTCACAAATATATTCAAATATTTCAATTTAATCCATCTCTTTATTTAGTATAGAAAAATTTCCATTCCTGTAACTGTTACAGGCACTGTAAATTCACACTTAATATTTCAAAATATGGAACAAAAATTATACTAGAGAGAAAATAGTTTCTGTCAATCATGTATGGTGTATATTTGTGCACATGTTTCTGTGCCTGTGTGTGTGTGATTCTGTATGTTAATGTTTTCCAGATTTATCACAGTTGATGAGTGAATGAATAAAGGCATGTACAATACTATGGGTACCATCTATATATGTATGTATCGACACTAACTTGACAAAATTTCAAGCTGAGTGAAGTAGACATGAAGTCAATTTTCTATTGATTTTTGTTTATTCATATATATTAATCAAAATTTGATGTTATAAACAAAATCCAGTGTGTGATATTAATCATAAATGCATAACAGATTCCCGTATTGCTGTTCCCCTACAGTCTAGATAAACAAAATTCAAGTTGTACTTATTGAGAAGTCTAGAAATGTACCGCCACCTACTACTACCACCACTACTACTACCTGTATTAGATTGAAAGATAAGTTTCAACAGGTTATACAGTTTTGCTGGAATAATGATTCATTTAAAGATCACTGTATGAAGTCGTCAAAACATATGTGGTCATTTGACATAAAAATGTTGCAGAAAATTAAATTACATTACTGGTTCAACAAACAGTCAGCTAATTTCTTTCATCTAACTAATAAGTATTTCTGCGTCAACAATTGTCTCCTGCAACATGTGTTACCAATAATTAATCACATTCACTAGTTATATGTTGATGCCACATACCAAGTGATTCGTTATAGGAAGTCCATTGAAGTGTGAAGACAAGAGTAAACTATCACCAATGATGATCTTCCTATGATTGTAATAGGATGGATCATGAAGAGGGAAGGCCATACATACATCAAGCTGATAGAAATCCATATAAAATGCGGACTTTGTGAAAGATTTATATCTTATCTCCTATAAACCTGAAGGCTAACAATCAAAAACCAACTAGTTGATCGGAGAGGCAGAGAAGGTAGGACTTAGGATGAACACAGAAAAGACAAGGATAATGGAAGGACCAGTCACCATGAATGGAAGAAATCACTTACCTGACTGAACTAAGCAGCATGATTTCAGCTACACACTGTACGGATAATGTGATATCAAAGCCATTTGGGATCAGATTTGGAAAGACAGATGTTCATCATTCCTGAAATCACTATGGATATCCGCAGCGTTCAGTTCAAAGAACAAGATCCCAATTTTCAACACCAGTGTCATACCAGTCAGTGCTTTGATAGGGTTCAGAGACTTGGAGTGCGCGTCAGTGAAAGTGTTTCTCATTGGCTACAGACTTCTCTGTCCTGAAAATGAGGATCGCACAGCTGAACGGAAAGGATATAGGACAACAAAGAACTCTAGTAGAGTAACGAACACACCAAGAACCTACAACTGAACCAATGAATGTGCAAAAGGGAGTGAAGTTGGACTGGACATACGCTGAGGAGACTTTCAAGTAATATCACACGTCATGGGGGGTCGTCGACTGGGACCCGAATGAGAAGCGACGATTTGGACAATATTGGGATCAGTTGGAGGTGATGGTAGAGGACCGAATGCCGCTGAAGCCCTGTGTTCCACTGGGAACGCTAGGAATGCACAGTAGTAATAATACTAATCTGGGTGCTACACAAAAGCAACAAAATGGATCTTCTTTCAAGACTAAACATTTCTATGTTTGGTTTCTCTTGTTTGGATCGATCATTCTACTTAAACACATAAGTACCTTATATGTTGACTTCAGTGCTACCCTTGAGTTTATCTTGACATTATTTCATAACGGTTAGTCTAACACGCGTTCCATATGAGTTTGGGACTCGAAACCAGGAAACATCAAGTTTCTACTGAAAACAGAGTCCATCACTCATCATTTTAAACTCTAAAGAAATTTCATTTAAACTATTAACGCACAATGGTTGTCTCTTGTTCACCAGATAAAAAGTGTTATATATCTAAGTGAATCTACCATTCTTAAGCTTAAACCTCTCAAAAAAACCTGTCATAATTCTGTAGTTTAAGGAATGATGTTCATCACTCTAAAGTGACCGGTTCTCATTTGGTAGAGATAGTGCATACGGTTGGTGGTAGCGCTAAAATCACGAATTAGTAGAAGTTAGAGACCGTGGGCTGGTCATTGAGTCATTTCTCAATTGTTGAATGGTTTATGAGCTTGCTTTGTAGTCGGAAGATCCTGGGTTCGAAATCCAATTGGTGTGTACTGCCGATGAGTCCCCAACTCGAACGAAACGGCTGCCCAGTGTTTTCAGTAGTGCTTTAAGTGATATCACTCTGCTATCAAACTTAATAATTCTTGAGTCAAAGAAAATGAATGTTCAAGATTGCTGAACCCTGCCAACTTAAGGTGAACTGAAGTTTATTTTCATAATGCATTAAAAGCTGTTCAGAGGAAGACGAATAAGCCGTTTTATAACTTACTAATAGTGGAATCGAAGGTTTGCAGAATATTACCATCTTCCAGGCTAGTTAGATAGCGCTTTAGATATTTCTGGTTTATAATTTTATTCTCATTACATTTGCATGTTGTAATACCAGAGATTGGAAATTAAACAGATGCAATTATGAAAATCAACAGAACTTAACTTTAAAACAAGCACAGTATCCATAGTCTTCTATTTGATCGATAAATGCCATCACTTCGAAAAGAAGTATGCTTAGTAGAACTTTGGTAAATAAATTCCTTTTAAGAGTTCCGTTAGCCTAGTCTGGGACTCTTCATCAGTATTCATCCACCACCATGGGTCGAACTCAGCACCTTCTAGTTACAAGGCCAGCGAGCTCGTAAACCATTAAGCCATTGGGACCCTATCCAATGGCCAGCCCATAAATTCCAACTTCAGCCGACCAATTCGCGACATAGCGCGACTACTAGCCAGTGTCATCGGTGGCGAGTATTTGTCCTCACACCCAACCTGCTGTACACTACTGGTCATGACCTCCCACTAGGTACCCAGGTAACTACCTACCTGAATAGGGCCAGTTGCTAGTGAGCATCTTATTGATATTCAAGGATTGGTTTGCGGGGGTTTGATTGATTGGTTACAGCTAGTTACTGCCAAAGAGCCCCAAACTAGGACGAAACAGATGTCCAGCACTCCCTGGCAGGTTTTGCAATGGTTCTCTAACCGATATCAGCTCATGATAAAATCCAGTAATCGGTTAACGATTAGTTTAAGAACGCTAAAATACATCCTGTTTTAATCTTTGTGATGATAACCAACTTTTTACATACAACAGATTTTCTGTACTTGGTTTGTAAGGATTAGTTTTGTTCTTACGAATTGATCACGGATTGAAATCAGTTAGAAAACCATTGAAAACCATCACTGGAGTACTGGACAGCTGCTGTTTTATCCTAGTTTTGGAATCATCGGCAGTACGCACCCACCGCCAGGGTTCGAAACCAGGACCTTTCGGTCACAAGGCAAGCTCGTATACCATTCAGCCACTGGGACCCGATTCAATGGCTCATGGTTAGGGTAGCGCTAAATCACGAATTGGTAGAAGTTAGAATTCATGGGCTGGCCATTGAATCGGGTCCCAGTGGCTGAATAGTATACGAGCCAGCTTGACTTGTTACCGGAGGGTCCTGGGTTCGAACCCCAGTGTAGTGGGTGCGTACTGCCGATCAGTCCCAAGCACTATGATCAGACAGCTGTCCAGTACTCCAGTGATGGTTTCCAATGGTTCTCTAACTGATATCACTCCGTGATCACCTCGTAAAAAAACATGACTAACCCTTACAAACCAAACTATAGAAAATTATATAAATTACATTTGATAACATGTGTACTTCCCTTTGAAAAGAAAATGTCTATAGACACACACAGTAGGTGGGCGAATCTGTATATATCACATTTTTAGCGCTACTTCTTTTTCTTTCCCAGTATCCCATTAATCCTTCAAAGTCATACTGTTTTGTCTCAATATGATTGAATAGATAATTTATATAAACATTTTGTTGACTTCTAAAATTTTCTAAAATGCAAATTCTGTCATATTTTGTTGATGCTCACAAGAGAACATCAACTCGCGCGCTCTCTCTCTCTTTCGTGCACACACGCACACACACACATAGATATTCACAAGACTGTCTCTGCCTTTAAAGGCATCATTGAAGTATCCAGTGAATTTGTATGCAGAATAATTTAGTCTTTACCTTTTCAAACTGGTACCGTAGGAAATACGAGTACAAAATTTTTCGGTTGTAATGTTACCGGTTTTAGTCTTTTACATAGCATTGTATGTACTGATTTAAACGACTCTTTTCCTTAAAGTATTGATTACTTCTCCTGTCTACAATACTGTGTGGCTTATAGCAGAACAACCTGTCTGACATTTGTTGGAGAATAAATAATCTCTGTCCTTATTATTTTGAATGAAATCTATCTCATATAAGGGAAAAAGGAGAGCTGTTTGTCGTGTTGCGTCGGTGGCATAGTGGTTAGGACGCTCGTCGACCATGCACATGGTCCGGAGTTCGATCCCCGGCCACCGACTCACTCTTTTACCTCGCTAAGGCAGAAATAATGCTGCTAAAGAGGAAAGGTTTGGCATGAGGCTAGCAACCCCATCCTGTAAAATAAAACACTGCTACAGAAACTTCAAGCTACTAGCTTGAGGCCCTATGTTCCACTGGGGACGTGAAGGAAAAAAATTTGTCGTGGATTTGAATGTGTTCAACAGGTATTTGTTGTCACATTTGTAGGCATGATGACAAGTCTGTTAAAATGTATCCAAGACTTAATATATCACGTGAGGTCAATCCAATCAAGTGTGTGAGGATGAATGTCCCACCGATGACATTGGTTGGTGGTCTCGCTCAATCACGAATCGATAGAAGTTATAATTCTTGTACTGGCCAGTGAATTGAGCTAGCTGTAACCGGAAGGTCCTGGGTTCGAATCGCAATGGGTGCGTACTGCCGATGATTCCCAAACTAAGACTTAACTGTTATTCAGAATATATCGAGATTATTATTATAATTACTACTGATATGATGTACTAGTTGAGAACGACTGAAATAGATTATATAAGTCCCCCTAAATCCGATCCCATGTGTTTATTGGGTTCTTTCCTTCAGTGCAAGTATTTTTAGTGAACAAATTGAACTGAATGACTTGGGAATTTATATGTAAAGCGCGTATGGTTCAACGGCTTCAAGCCTAAACACAAACGTACTTTATGATAATGTTTCAACCATCATTTATATCAAAACTTTGGCTTTTAAAGGCTGTTCTCTTTTTCTTTTTCTACGATCAGATTCCACCAGGCTATCGACGTCATTTATCTGGTCGACTCGATGATGATTCTCTGTGTGGTTCATCCGATGTAGAAAATCCTCGATCAGGTTGTCTGCATTCCAATTCATTACACAATCTTAATCGTACAGGTTATGATATGCAAGGATCATGTTATAATACAAATTTTCATACAGTTGATTATAACTCTCCTTATTTTATGGATAAATCTATGATACAAGAGGATGGTTCAGTATCTTGTGATGAATCACTTTCACAGCTTCATTCATTCCTTTCACCGTATGGTGGTTCATCTACGCTGAGTAGTGCAGCTTTTCATGCCAGTTTAGATGGGTTATGTGTTGGTGGGAAACAAAAACGTGGAGTATTGCCTAAAAGAGCTACACAGATTATGAAACAATGGCTATTTCAACATCTTGTAGTAAGTTAATAGTTTTGATTTTCAACTTTTCAAATGTTAAACAATCGTAAATTGGTTTCATTTCATTTAAGGTGTTAATTAATTAATTAATTGAAGTAAGCAGTGTCGCCTATATGAGGCACACTCTGACTGATGACCAAGAGGCATTTGAAATGAGTATTTTTTTCTTAACAGTCATGATTTTGTCTTCTGGGTATCAGATTGTTTATGTCGCTTAGGATGTTGTATCGATTATGTCATAGACGGAATTAACTCCACTATGAATAATCCTTAGGAGTAAAATCAATCAAATACTTTCAGTTAACAAACGCTCTTTAACTTATGGTATTTTCTTATATCATGTTAGCATATTAGCAGTCTCTATATTTAGTCATAAGCAGATCATTCACGAAATGCAGATTCGATTATCACAATTTTCGACCTAAATATTTATTTGCCTACTTTTGTGATCTCTGTCGCCTCCACAGAAAATTCAGATATACACATAGAGTCATATTATTATTTTTATTATTACTTCCTTGGGTTCCAAGTGGAACATAGGGCTTAAACAATACATCTCCACTATGCCCTATTCTCTGATCTCCTCTCTTCAGCCGGCTAGCCACACGAATGTCCATAGTCTGTCATCTCCTCCTCTGACGATTTCCTCCATGTCACCTTCTCACTGACGACCCACTCATCGTTTCGCATTGGGATTCAATGTGAGGACCTGGTGCACGATATCATTTGACGGTCTCCTCAGTGTATGTTTGATCCATCTTCATTATCACTTACATATTTGGCGGACTATAGGTTCTTGTTGCTAATTCTTTCTTTCTGACTGGGTGGCCATTTGATCTTCAGAATGGAGCCAGCCAAGGCAGTCGTTGATAAAAGTCTGTAGCTTGTTGAAAATCATTTTCGTGACAGGCTGGCCAAGTTTCTGATAGGTACAGGAGAACTGACTAACTGACTTCACATTGGTGTTGAAAATCCGAAAACTGTTCTTTATGTCGACCGAGTGCAGTGCAGATTTCCAAACTAGTTTCAGGTTGATGAAGGCGTAACTTGCCTTACCTATTCTGGCCTGCTTTGACATCTTCATAGATAAGTGAATGAAGGAAACTCTGTCCAATCTCTCCCGTTGGTGGTGATTGGTACTGGTTGTTGTTTCTGTTGGTTAGTTATTTATTTTAATCACTTCCGTCTTCTCTATGTTCACCTGGAGTCCTGTCTTCAGTGCCAGCCTCTTCTGCTGGTTTTTTGGTTTTCGCCTATAAGTCTTTGAGTTTGTGTAACATTAAACATATATCATCTGCGAAATCTAGAAGATCTGGATTTCTTAGAATCATAGAGATTCTCACAATTCCTAAGATGCTTTTCATGTTTATTGAACAATAAATATCATTGAAGTTGATTTACTCAGCTAAAATAAGATCTGTTTACTCTGTCATCAGGTAAGTTTGATAGGGCGGGGGGAGGGGTAAATTTCTGTAGACTGCAATAGAAGTAGTTAGTCATATTTTCTAGAGGTAACTAAATGGAATAATTATTACCTTCTACTTTATTTGGTAGGCTAGAAAAACAGCTGGTCACTAGTTGATGATATCTTCTCGACTAATTACCAGATTTCCTCATAGTTAGTCTGTAAAACTCAGAATTTCATTGATATGCAAGCTGATGATCAACATATACAGCCAAAAGTGCCTCTATGTTGATTTACAACACGTGAATTACTTTTTAGAGCTGATTACTAGTTTTTGCTAGTTAGCAATCAAGGAAGAAAGTTTAGGATTTTCAATCTCTTCAGAGTATCATTTTCCATTTAGTGTTCAGCTATTTCTAATATGAATTTTTTTCCGATTCTTTCAGTAGTGATAAAGAGAAGCAGGTACTTCATGTGTAGGAGCACACGCTACAGATGGATCTTATTTAGTTTTATTAGGAACGGGGATGTACGGCATCGATATTATATTATATATTTGCAGGAATGATAAACTACTATGGATTTTATTCAGTGATGACCTCTTTCATTTAAAAAGTGATAGAGGCTATTTAGTATAGATTGTTGAATTCCACTGCTATGAGAAATTAGACATGAAGCCATTAGGAAACCTGAGGATTCGGTCTCACCTTTACCTATACTAAATATGCACCCTAGTGTAACAGTTATTGAGTGTACTATAGTTAATAACAGTTTCCCAACTACGCAGTGTGAATCTACATGGTTATGTACAATTAAAACAGCCAACTTCAGGGGAGGGAGATCAATAACCAGTATCCTAGCGCGAAACTCTTTTTTATTCCTTTACGTTCCCAGTGGAACACAGGGCTTCAAGCTTTAGCTTTGAAGTTTCAGTAGCACTGGTGTTTTTACGGGGTGGGGTAGCTTGCCTCACGCCCAGTCTTTCCTCCTTGTCTAGCTAAGGCAAGTAAAGGAGTGTGCCGGTTGGGACTCGAACCCCGACGCTGAACCACCGACTCACGCGAAACTCTTACTTTTGATCAACATCTACTAATCCGAACCCAATCTTTCCGTTAGTGATTTTTCGTCTCACTGTATTAGTTCACTATGTCTTGTACAACAGGAGTAATGTCAAAAGATGTGGTAGCAAATGTCAAATATTTTCAGAGAGATTGTTTTAAATCATTTAGGAACTTATACCTTTACACCATTCAGTGTAATAATAAACTTATTTAGATCTTATGATTCAAATTAACAGTAGGATGTTCTGCCTAAAACATGCTGGCCTTGACTCTTTTTTCACTGTAATAAGATTTTCGAATATAAAAAAATGTGGAGTTCACAATACCATACACATCAATCATTTTCTCTCTTTAGAGCGTGTTTACTGTCCTTAATATAGATTGTGAAGTGTCAATCAACAATGTATTTCTTATATAAAAGGTCACTAAACTCTTAGCGACTTCATGGAATATTTATGCATATATAGTATAAATGGTATTTATTTTAAGGAGTTTTTATTTATATTAAACTCGCTGGAGCGATATAAGTGATATATGTATGCATATTAAAATAAACTGACTATGGTGATTGGTTTTCAGGATAACAAATAATAAAATATACGGAATTGCATTTAGAAATTACCATAAAATAGGGAAAAACACTCACAAAGTGCTAGTCAGCTGTACACGGATAGTGTTTGCAAGGGTATGTATGAATTTCAGGTTAAACCCAAGGATTGATATCAGTTAGAGAACCATTGCAAACCGACAGGGAGTACTGGACAGTTGTTTCATCCTAGTTGGAGATTTGTCAGCAGTATGCACCCAGCGGAGTTCGGACCAAGGACCTTCCGGTTACAAGGCAAGCTCGTAGACCATTCAGCCACTGGGACCCAACTCAATGGCCAACCCATGAATTCTAACTTCTACCAATTCGTGAGTTTAGCGCGACCACCAATCATTATCATCGGCGAGAGCCTCACACGATGAGTTGCAGACTAGGACGAAACAGCTACCCAGTACTCCCTGTCAGTTTTCAATAGTTCGCTAACTGATATTAATCCGTGGTCTAACCTGAAACATATAGAATCCCTACAAACTAATTTTTGAAGATAAACTTTTATTGTCTCGCAATCCTAATCAAAATTTTGTCATAACGGTCAGCAAATAAAGTCGCAGAATATTAAGCTAACTATAAATTCACGTTTAGTTTAGTCTTGCCAATGAGGTTTAGAGATCCCCAGCAGAACAAAAGTGACAACAAGGACTGGAAGATTCTGAGTCAGTCTATATAAATTGGATATTTTATAGTCCTCTGGTTTACATTAACCATATAGCAAGAAGTCCGTATGGAAATTGTGTGCAACTAGGAAATATCAACAACAAAAAGTTGAACTCAGATGTGTTTAAGCTATTCCTTTTAGTTATTCACTGCTAAACACCGTTCACAAGTTTATTACTTCTTATTACTAATTAAAAGCTTAGACTTGCAAGACAAAAAAGATTTTTAAATACACTAAAAAGAGACTATAGCCTAAAGAAAGTTATACTTTAATTAGCACGGTCGTCTAATACTGAACCACTACAGTACACTTTCTGGATACAATAAAAATATTTCAAGATACTTAGCAAGCAAGTTGACTTCAGTTTCACTGCATTTATTGAAATTATAATCATACTGATACTTAGAGTGTACTTGTCCATTCAATTACTGGAACCCGATCCAGTGGCCAGTCCATGAACTCGAACTTTTCCCAGTTCCTGATATATATATATATAGCACAACCGCCAGTTAGTGTTATAGACGAGTAAATGATCTCTTACCTGACTTGATTGACCCTACCGGTTATGAATTTCCACTAGGACTTCGGGTAACATCCTGTATTGGGCCATTTACCAGTGAGTATTAAATTAATTGTCAAGTTTTGATTTACAGGGAATTGATTGGTTATAGGTTTGGTCACCAGTTGACAACTGTTAAAGTACCAGTGGGACCATCCAAATCAGGTAAGAGATCATTTACTCGCCTATAGCATTATCTGGCGGTTTAGCTTTATAAATCGGGAATTAATCGACAGAAGACCAGTAGTTCAGTGAAGAGTCTGTTTTCGGCGAATTCATTTTCATGGCTGTACAATCGCAAATATATATATGGTTGTTTTTCATGTGTGTGTACATTAAATTTGTCAAACGAAATACAGTTAGTAAGTTTTCTGGTGGAGTTGCGTAACACAAAACAGTGTTCAGAGGAATTAGATTTTGATATAAGAGGGTAATAACAAAAGTGATGAGTTGTCACAAACGATGTTAAAGAAGAGTTACGTAATAACATGAATAGTTTGATTAAAGAGTTGAGCTCAGGGTGTAGATGGAAACGAAATAAAATACGGAACTACGTAAGAGTTTCAAGTGGTAAGAAAAATAAGCATACAAGCAAAAGTTAAGTCAGATCAACAGAGTTGATACCATAATAGTAGAAGTGGTTGAATAATTTTCTTTTGTATGTATAGTCCTGGTTCTTCTAACTGAATGGCTAGGGCTTCTGCAATGCAAAG